TTTGTGGTCTTTTCGGACGGAGCCTCTTGGGAGCAGTTTTGGGGCCTCTGGGAAGCCTCTTGGGGGCTTCTTGGGGGCCTCTTGGGGCTTCCTGGGGACCTGTTGGGAGTCCTTGCGGCCTCTCTTGGGGTGTCCTGGGGGCCTCTTGGGGGGGCTCTCGGGAGGAGCCTCTGGGAGCTTCCTGGGCGCCTCTTGGGGCCGAGAGCTCGAAATTTTCGCTTGGGTCCCCCGTCAGGGCCCGCTCTTGGAGCCGTCTTGAAGAGCCTCTTCGGCCATCTTTTGGAGGCCTCTGGGGCTGTCTTGGGGTCCTCTGGGGCTGTTCTGGGCGCTCCTGGAGGCCTCCTGGGCCGTGTTGGGGCGATCGTGGAAGCCTCGTGGGCCGTCTTGGAGAGCCAGTAAGCCGAAAGGGCGAGAACGCCAAACCTTTTCAAAGACATAAGGCAAATCACTCATTTCTGCCTCTGGGCGCTCTTGGGAGGTCTCTTGGAGGCCAATCGGGGCGTCTTGAAGGCGCTTTGGGATGTCTGGAGGCCATCTTTGGCGTCTTGGATTGCTCTAGGACCTTCTCGGACCATGTTGAGCTCTCTTGGAGGCCACTTGAAGCGCTCCTGGAGCGCTCTTGGGAGCCTGCTGGGACCTGGCTGGGACCCCTCCGGGATCTGCCCGGGAATCGCGCTCTCGCGTGGGATTTCCTTACAATTTTTGCAGTAATCGCGCTCTGGCGTGGGACTGCATCGCAACTTATTGAAAAGCCGCGCCCTCGACACTCAGGAATCATGCTCTGGCTTTGGTGTTTCTTATGATTTACTTGGGAATCGCGCTATCGCTCGGGACTTCCTCGCGATTCATGCAGGACGCACGCTTCAGCAACCCGCCTTCTCGACCTGGCCGCCTGGGCCCGCCTCCCTGGCCCGCCCGTCAGGGTCTACCCGCCCGATCTGCCTGTCGGGTTCTGCCACGTGTTTCTGAACTAGCACCCCTCCTGCTAATCTCTCTCGTGCTCCATCCTCTTCCCTCCCCCTTGTCCCTTCTTTCCATCCGAGGCTGCACAAAATACACGTTGCAGGTAAGGATACCCCGAAAGGGTTATGATCGAACACGAAGAGGGCGGGTACCGAAGGTTTGGGAGATACTTGGATAGTTGCACTCGAGCAGACGAGGGCACACAGTCGTAAAATGCTTGTTATGAGGAGGAGGAGGAGGAAGCGGAGGAGGAGGAGGAGGAGGAGGAGGAGGAGGAGGAGGAGGAGGAGGAGGAGGAGGAGGAGGAGGAGGAGGAGAGGAGGAGAGGGGGAGAGGGGGAGGGGAAGAGGAAGAGGAGGAGGAGGAGGGAGAGGAGGAGGAGGAGGAGGAGGAGGCGGAGGCGGAGGAGGAGAAGGAGGAGGAGGCTGCGGAGGAGAAGCAGGATGAGGAGGAGGGGGAGGGGGTGAACGAGGAGGGGGACGAGGGGGAGGAGGAGGAGGAGGAGGAGGAGGGGGAGGAGGAGGAGGAGGAGGAGGAAGAGGAAAGGGAGAAGGAGGAGGAGAGGAGGAGGGGGATGATGATGGTGATGATGATGATGTTGATGATGCTGATGCTGGTGCTGATGCTGCTGATGATGAGGATTATGATTGTTGCTGCTGATGATGACGCTGATGCTGATGATGACGATGACGATGTAGGCGATGCTGCCACTGATGATGGTCGTGATGATGATGATGATCCTGATGATGCTGATGATCATGATGCCGATGATGATACTGATGCTGATGCTGATGATGATGATGCTGATGCTGCTGCTGCTGCTGATGAGATGAGTTTGATCAAACTGCTGATGATGTTGCTGGTGTTGATGATGCTGACGATGATGATCATGATGATGATTCTGTTGATGATGAGGCTGATGCTGCTGATGATGCCGATGATGCTGATGATGCTGTTTATGATGATTACGATGGTGATGTTGATGCTGATAATGATGATGCTGATGGTCATGCTGATGCTGCTGCTGATGATGATGCTACTGTTGATAATGCTGCTGCTGATGATGATGCTGACACTCATGAGACTGCTGCTGATGATGATGCTGCTGCTGATGATGATGCTGATGATTATGATTATGATGATGGTGATGGTGATGAGTATGAGGATGATGCTGATGATGATGATGATGATGGTGATGGTGATGGTGATGGTGATACTGATGGTTATGATGATGCTGATGATGATGATGATGATGATGATGATGGTGATGGTGATGATGATGACGATGACGATGCTGATGGTGATGCTGCTGATGATGAGATGGTGATGATGATGCTGATGATGATGATGGTGATGACGCTGATGATGGTGATTATGCTGATGATGATGATGCTGATGATGCTGATGATGATGATGCTGATGATGACGATGATGATGATGATGATGATGATGAGGAGGAGGATGATGATGATGGATGGTGATGATGATGATGATGATGACGATGATGGTGGTGGTGAAGGTGGTGGTGGTGGTGATGATGAGGAGGAGGAGGAATAATATGACCAGTGTGCAACCAAGAGTCATCAACGATGTTGGATTAAAACCTCTCCCCAAGCTCCCTCTTCACAGGCCCCATACAATGGTTCAATTCCATTTAGGGAATTGACTCGTTGGAAGACAACCGTTTGAAGACCCTGTAGCATGCCAAAACATTGCTCTCGGGATTCCAACTCCACGGTCAACCAGACTGTTGCGTCTTGACGACCCTGAAGCGTGCCAGAACGCCGTTCCTGGGACTTCAGCACCGCGAATCCACGTAACTGTTGCACTGTTGCACCCTCATGATCGTGAATCCTTCCAAAGCATCATTCCTTGTACGTTGATCACGGGAATCTGTCAAACTCGTGTAAATTTTACAAACGAATGTGCGCGGCGCTAAGGCGAGAGCCCCATTTTGGAAAACGGGCCGCCCTCAATCCGTGAAGCTGTTTCGAACATTCTAAGCGAGTATGCGCGGCGTGAAGGCGAGAGCCACATCGAAAACGGGCCGCCCTCAATCCGTGAAGCTCTTTGAAAACGTGCTGCCCTCCATCTGTGAAGCTGTTGCCAATTTTGAAGCTTCAGGGTCATAGATGTGGAAATCTCAGGCGAAACGCCCTCCCTGTCTGCGGCCTTGCATCTCTTGCGGACGCGTAGGCGTAGGGTAAAAAGCGTTGAAATCACCCGTAATGGAACGGCAATGCCTCGCTGTTTTCGGAGGTTGGTCCATCGTTGGTAGCGAGGCCCCCCACATATATAGCTTCCTTCACGATCTTGATTGGCTCCCCCTGCGGCGTCCTCACACAACCAGCAGAACCGATTTGAAGTTGCACCGTCTTGTCCCAATTCAGCTCCAATCCGTACTTCCGCCCCTCCGTCACAGCTGCGTCCAGCACAAGCTGCACGTTTTCTTCATGATGAGACGCCAGCGCTGTGTCGTCGGCGTAAAGGATTCCCGTGGATACAATAGAACCCGGTTCTGGTTGAAGGGGAAGGTCCGAGAGGGCGTTTTTCAGCATCACAGTCTGTACAATGATACATGCATACGGTGACAACGGGCATCCCTGAGCAATGCCTGCTGATTGATGTCGCTGTGATGATTTACCACAGAGGTCCAACATAGTAAAATACCGGCGTGAATATATTCTCCTGATCATTTGTACGAGAGGGTGTGGCAACCCGAATTTTGTCAAAGCTGCGCACAAACACATTCTGGTTTCAATCGGTCGAATGCCTTGGCCCAGTCCAGTAAAAGCAAAACAACACCACCGCCGTCATTCAGAAGTGCTGCGTCGATCATGCGCCTCACGAGCATGAGCGCATTGACAGTGCCCCAGCGAGGCCGGAATCCATATTGAGAAGGTCGCAATCGATGTTGTGCGCCTCCTTAAAGCAACCGCCGGTGCAACATCGCCGCAAGGGCTTTGTATCCCACAGAGAGCAATGACGTCGGGCGATAATTGTTCGGTAGAGTTGTGTGTCACCTTTCTTGAAGAGCAAGAGGACGTACGCCATGCGCCATTTTTCTGGTATGGATTTCTCGGTCCAACACCGCTGGCAGACGTCCAAGAGTGCTTGACACGCGTGTACATCTGTAGATACAATTTTCCAAACATCTGGCGGCACATCATCAGGGCCAGCTGCTCTTCCATTTTTCATTCTCTCCAAGAAGAAACACAACTCATTCATGGTAAACTGGCAGACTTCTATGGGCAATTCTGCACCGAGTGGCTGGGTAGCTGTAGGAACCACATCCAGGAAAGTAACTTGCCATTGCATTTTCTCGAAGTAGTCTGCCAAAACATCTGCCCGCGGTGTCTGTCAACTTGTTGCTCAGATCCCAGATCCCAGCGTGCTTTGCTTGAGGTTTCTTCCGCAAATTTTTGACTGCGCTCCAATTCCCCCCCGCAAGAGACTCATCCAGGATGCGCGGTCTGCTCGCGCAGATGTCCGGATCACCCTGTCGAGAGACTTCTCATTACAAGCGTGGCGTCTCATTACAGGCGAAACGCCCGGCCCGCCCTAGAAATTGGCGTCGGGGTGCGACAGGGAGAAGATGTTTATAAGGAAAGGGAAAGGAGGAGGAGGAGGAAGAGGAGGAGGAGGAAGAAGAGGAAGAAGAGGAGGAGGAGGAGGAAGAAGAAGAGGAGCAGGAGGACGAGGAGGGGGGGGGGAGGAATGTGCAGAAGAGAGGGCAGGAGGACTTCCCGTCCGCGCGCCCGTTGGTCCCCAGGAGGCCACTCGCAGGAGGAAACAGGAGCCGCCACTTGGCACCGATACAGTCGGGGCCCTGAAGAAGGACCTCTTTTGGTTGGGGAGGGGCTCCGCGTTGCTTAAGTGTTTCACAGCTTGCCTCAGGTCTTCCTCATGTTTCCGATAGGAAATCGAATTGTAACTTATGGAAAAAGGGGCCTCGTTCCTTATTTAGGGTTCCTCAGGTCAACGCCCCGACTGTACCAGGCTTGCTATGTGGCCCCCCCACCGACCCTTCCGAGCAGGTGGACCCGGGATCGGTGGACCCGACCAAGTGCTTCTCGCTGATCACGCCCAAGCGCTCCTTCGACTTCAGCCGGACGGCACGACTGTGGCAGCCACTCCTGGATCGGGCGTGGACAGATCTCCTGCCCTGACACGTCGATTAGCGGATTGGCCGTTTTCGGTTCGCAAGAGGGCGTCGCGGCCGTCATTTTTGCGGGTCCAGGTCCGCCGGTTTCGGTCCCAGGCCGTTTTCACTAAGGGGAGGTTTACTAAAGAGAGGTTTGTCCACCGCCGACGGGACTTAGGTTCGGCAGTCCTACTACAGGAGATCGATCCATCGAGAGAGCCAGCCGAAATCTTCGAAGAATCTTCAACAGGAAAATCAACCTCCCCCAGAAGAGTGCAAACAATCTCTAAGCCAAAACCTGCGAACATCTCAAACCAAAAATAGCTTCAAAACATCTCTAAGCCAAAACCTGCGAACATCTCAAACTCTGAAAGGAACTTCCAAACAACTCAAAACCAAAGCCTGCGAACATCTCTAAATTTAAACCGGAGTCTGCATTTAGATTTTGTTGACATATTCCAGATTTTTGTTTGAGTTCGCCAGGCGGTCAGAAAGTTTTTTTTTTTTTTTTTTTTTGCAGTCTTGCAGTTTTTAACAGTTTTTTGTCTACATATTTTAGGCGCTTCGATTTGTTTTTCATATTTGTAGTTTTTTTTGTTTGTTTTTGCTTCGAGTTTTAAGGCGTTTAGAGTTGTTTTTAGAGTTTGTTTGTTCCATCGTTCTTTTACAGATTTTTTTTCGAGTTCCGGGTTCAAGTTTTTTTCAGGTGTGAGATTTCCCGAGGTTTGTCATTTGAGAGTTTGAGATTTTCGCAGGTTTTGGTTTAGAGTTTTTTTGAAGTCGTTTCAGAGTTTGAGATTTTCGCTGGTTTTGGTTTAGATTATTTTCTGAATTTTATTATAATTTGAGACTTTCGCAAGTTTTGGTTCAGATATCATTTGAAGTTTGTTTATAGGTTGAGATTTCCGCAGGTTTTGGCTTAGAGATTGTGTAACAGTTTTTTTGAGTTTGGGTTTCTTCGCCCGATATGGCCGTGGACCGCCTGTAGTCGCTATTGCCGAGCCTAATCCTGGACCCTCCGGCAGCGGCAACGTGCGAGAGGGGGCAGGGCGAGCGGGCGGCATTGTAAGAAGGCAAGGGGGGGATACGAGAGGAGGAGGAGGAGGCGGAGGAGGAGGAACTGGAGGAGGACTTGGAGGAGGAGGAGGAGGAGGAGGAGGAGGAGGAGTGTAATGGGTAGCAAGGATGGGGAGTGTGAGAGTGGGGAGGGGGGGAGAGGGATAATCAGTGGAAGCATAGCCCAGGAGCAGAGAGTTAAGATAGCGAGGGGAGGAGGAGGAGGAAAAACAGGAGAAGGAGGTGGAGGATGAGGAGGAGGAGGAGGAGGAGGAGGATGACCAATGTAAACCCAAAGCGCATGATCGATACTGCAACAAGGCGTCGATCTAGTTCTTTATTTGAAGGTCTTTTCAATAATTGTTTTTCATTGCGGGAAGTGCTCCATTGGAAGACAACTGGTTTAGAGTCTTCACTCGTTCCAATGCACCAGTCCTGGGACGCCAGCGCCGCGACTCAACGTGATTGTTGCGTCCGGACAATCCTGAATCGTGCCACCGTTCCTGGGACTTCATACGAATTTTTAAACCGTCGCAAAGTTTTAAGACGAATGTGCGCGGCGCTAAGGCGAGAGTCATGTTTTGAATCGGACCCGCCCCCCATCCGTGTAACTTCTGCAAGCTTTTAAGACAAGTGTGCGCGGTGCACAGGCGAGAGCCACGTTTTGAAAACCACCCGCCCTTCGTCCTTGAAGCAGTTGCGATTTCTTAAGGCGAATCTGCGCGGCGATAATGCGCTAGCCACGTTTTGAAAACGGGCCGCCATTCATCAGTGAAGCTGTTGCGAAGTTGTAAGACATATGCGTGGCGCTAAGACGAGAGCCGCATTGTGAGAGCTGTTGCACTGCATCCGTGAGGTGGTTACTTTTGTTCATTCTTTTTTAATGTATTAATATATACAATCAATACAAATAGACGAATGTGCGCGGCGCCAATATGAGAACCGGATTTTGTAAAATACCCGCCCTCGAGCCGTGAACTTGTTGCAAAGTTCAACCTTCAGAAAAGGCAGTCTCAGGTGAAAACGCCTGGCCCACCCTGCTGAACGTTTGGGGGTGCGACAGGGAGGAGTTATTCATGAGACAAGGAACAGGAATGGCGGAGGAGGAGGAAAAGGAGGAGGAGGAGGTTGAGGAGGAGGAGGATGAGGAGGAGGAGGAGGAAGGGGAGATGGAGGGGAGGGGGAGTAGGAGGAGGAGGAGGAGGGGGAAAAGGAGGAGGAGGAGGAGGAGGAGGAGGAGGAGGGGGAGGGGGAGGAGGAGGGGAAAGGGGGAGGAGGAGCATGAGCAATGGAGTGGGTAGTGAAAGGGAACGCAGAAATGGCTGTCACACTCGCGCCGTTCTTCGTCGGCAAGAAGGACGAAGAAGTCGAGTGCTTAGTGCTCAGCATCTCCAGGCTCTGCCAGAGATCGAAGTCGAACGGCTTTCCAGTCGAGGGCGCGCTCGACAGTCACGCCGAGTTCATAGCGGCGCGCGGGTGGTGCAAGGTCCATTGGAGGGGGAGGAAGGGAGGGGACAGATCATTTTGGCGACTAGATGTGGTATCGTTTTTTGGTTGGTGCGTGTCTGTGAGTGTGTGTGTGTGTTTTCGGCGTGCGGAGGCAATTTACAGGCATTGGGACAGTCCAGCAACGACTCAGGATGGAGCGCTGGTCCTGGGAAAACGGTTCGAGAGTTCCAGGTGCTGACGGCACAACAAAAAGCTAGAGTTGTCGGATGCCTGGGAACGGGGGCGGATGGAAAGACGGGATGGTCGGGTGGGGGAAAGGGCGAGGAAGTGTGAAAGGTAGGAGCGAGGGAGGGAGGCTGAGGATGAATAATCGTGTGCCCACAAGGTGGAGAACCAGTGTCAGAAGAGGAACACCTCCCTGGCCTCTGCCATGAAGCTCGCCATCAAACGGGCGAGTCCCAGGGCGCTGAGACCTCGAGACCCCAAAGGGGCGGAGGGCGCATCGTCGCGGTCGCCGCGGAGATGAAAAACGTCTATGCTCTCTCCGAAAAGGGTACGGTGTGCTGCCGTCGTCGGTGCTGCCGGCGTCGTCGCCGTTGTCGTCGCAGTCGTCGTCGTCGTCGTCGTCGTCGTCGTCGTCGTCGTCGTCGTCGTCGTCGTCGTCGTCTTCTTGCTCGCTTTGCTCGTCGGCGGCGGCGACTTTGTCGTCGTCGCCGTGTTGGTCCTGGGGAGGAAGGGCGCAAAAGTGTCTGCGCCTCAGAGTTTCCGCCGCGTCCATCCCGAAGAGAGCTGGCCGTAGGATCTCTCCTCATCCTCGTCCTCCCTCCCTCCCTCCTCCCTTGTCCCCCCTCTCTTCCTCGCCGCCCTCTTCTCCGGCGCGCTGGGCGGTGGGTGTTGATGGTGGACGGGCGGGGCGTCGTTCCAGCGGCCGCTTTTGGGCCTGTCGTGTGGCAGTCAACTCGGAGATCCGCGCGTATTTTTTGGGCCGGCGCTGGACCCTCATCGCCACGCCAGCGCGCTCCGCGCGACGGGGGCGGCGGGGAGGGAGGTCCAGCGCCGACCCAATCGACTAGACGTAAGAGTGACCTTTCGCCGGAGTGACCTTTGGTGCGGGCCAAATGGGGTCCCCCGATCGCCGCGCTCGTTGCGATATTAGCGTCTTGCGCGCCTGTGTTTGGCCTCCTCGCGCCCCCAAAAAGCCGCGCACCAAAGGTCACTCTTACCCAGGGTCACTCTTGCGTGCAGCCGACCCAAGACATCCTCGCGGAGCTACGAAAGTTTACAGTTCCAGTGTCAGAGGCCCGCTTCTGCGTCGGCGCGGCGCAGAAGCAGCCCGTGCCCAGGGGAGACAGGGACGCACGAACAGGCGATAGCGCGAACACGTTTCAGTAAGCAAAGGAAGCTCACGGATCTGCCCCTCGGGGTCCTCGGGCCATCCAGAGGCCATCTCGGGCGGTTTGGGGCGCTCTCGGGCCGCCTTGGACCATCTTGGGCTCTCTTGGCGGCTCCGTGGAGCGCTCCTGGAGCGCTTTGAGAGCCCGAAGGCGACGCACAGGGAAACAAAAACATCTCTCTGGGTCGGGGGTGTGGGCGTAGTGCTTTTCGTTTGGGGACTCCCATTGGTGGCCCCGCGCGCGCGAACAAGAAATATTCGAAACCAGCTACCGGAAATCTCAGCACGCCTCTGGCTCGTTTGGCCGGCGATCTGTTTGCGCACTGCGTGACTGAATCAGGCAAAACGACGCCAGCCAAGACGAAGCAGGAGTCAGTCGACGAAGCTGCAAAACACACTCAACGGAGGCGTTCGGTTGCACGGAATGCATAGAAGGGAAGCGGGCATTATTAGGCATCGTGCAGGTTTCAGGAAGAGTTCCGGTTGACGATGTCAAGAGTCAGGCTTCCGCCTGGTGCAAAAAGCTGACGAGGGCAGGTAGGTCCCAGGCACGTGCTGTGGCCGATGTGCTGCACAGCATCACGCTGGGCACGCGCGTGCTCCCCCCGTCCTGACGGAAGCAGGGTCTCGTCGTTGCTGTTGTCTCTCCCCCTGAAGTTGCTCTCGCCGCCGTTGTCGCCGTCGCCGTCGCCGCCGCCGTCGTCGTCGTCGTCGTCGTCGTCGTCGTCGTCGTCGGCGTACTCTCTTCGTCATTCTCTGGGGCGTAGCCTCCGCACAGCTTGG